CCTGCTGTGTGCCGGTAACGGCACCTCAGGCTCATACATTTACGCCCAAGCAAGGGGCTGTCGGTGGCAGGTCGTGGACCTCCCGACTACGTGTAACAGCCAATGACTCTTCACCATGTCTGCTAGGTTCCAGGGAGACACCGTCTCTTCAAAAGGTTATGAGCCCCAGCGTCCTGCCTCCCGTGCTCTGACAAGCATAGCTCCCACCGCATCAGCACTGCTGCAACAAGCACAGCTCTCACCACGTTGGCACTACCCATCAATTATCACACATGCCGCCCTAGCACCAGCCTGTACGGATATATGCAGGGGGGGCCCGCCCTTTTCCGGCTCTGAGGAAAGCCGGCGGGCTTGCAGAGGTAGCCCAATAACGAAAATGCTACAGCTCCAAAATATATGTACAGTAGGCGTGGTAGGTGAGCCCCGGAACCCGGCATGCACTGTGCACCGATGACCTAGAGCACAACTGTTGCACGCAACGCGTCTGCTGCGACTGTTGCATTTGTCGCTCTTGTCGCCATTGTAGCGGCTGTCGCCATTGTAGCGGCTGTCGCCGTTGTCACCGTTGTCGCCGTTGTCGCGACTGTCGCCGTTGTCGCCGTTGTGGCAGTTGTGGCAGTTGTGGCAGTTGTCGCCGTTGTCGCCGTTGTCGCCGTTGTCGCCGTTGTCGCCGTTGTCGCCGTTGTCGCCGTTGTGGCAGTTGTAGCGGTTGTGGCTCTTATTGCATCAGGGACGACTGTCGTACAGCTGCAGGAAAATGGGGCCCCTTAGCTCAGCTGGTTAGAGCGTGGTGCTAATAGCCATGGGCACGCCAAGGTCATCGGTTCGATCCCGATAGGGGCCACAGAGGAGCGGAAATCTTGCTGCTTAAGGAGGAGGAGGTGGCACAAGCGAATGTGTATGGGCGGGGATGCTGCTCATGTGCATGACGATGCGGATAAGTGGCAGCTCCAGGTGAAGGAAAAGGACTGAGACGGGCTCTCGCAGCCCATGCTTATTGGTCATTTATGCAGACAAACGCCCAGCATCGACATCCTCATGGCTGGTCAGCAGCAGAGTGGCACGGCTCACACTGCATGACAGTCCAGCTCTAGCTAGCAATGCTACCAGGTGCATGCTGGTCTACGGCGAAACAACGCCACCGGGACATTCATGCCAACCCCACCCCCAAAAAACATGTGCCACAAGCTATAGCTTATGTCGACGCACGTTGGCCACGTGAAGCCACCTAAAAGTGCTGTGAGGGAGCTGTGAC